CCGCTCTTCACATGAGATGTGTCTGGCCCCGGCCCCTGGTCTGGTCACCCTGGCTCAGAGCAGGGATTGGGCCACCCCAGGGATCCTCCAGAATGGGTCCGGGTGTACCCCTCACTTAAATGGATTTACTTCTAGAGGTGCTGATGACCATGAGTTGGTCCCTGATGGTTATGACCACCAGCCTTTATCACCCCTCTGAAGGAAAAGTGATGTTGGTTCCTGCTCAGACATCAGCACAGCAGGAGGAGCCCCTCAAACCACCAGTTTCTTGTCATGAGTACCTGGAGATGTGGAGAAACTGCAGCCTGTGCCAGGTGGTTCCACCAACCCCTTCAATCCCTTCCTAGATTTTACAGTTTCTTGGCCTTTGGTTTTACTAGAATTAACTAAGCTTGTCTGGGCTTTTATTTATGATTTTCTTTTCCCCATGACTGCTTACCACACTGAAAGTGGTTTGTTTGGTGGTTTTTGTTCCCGTTGGCCTTGACAATAACACCTGCCTTGGTTTCTTCTCAGGTTCAGCCCTCATGAAGGAAACATAGGCTTTCATGTAAAGGAGAGTAACTCAAACCAGAACTGGCACTTCCCCCTGGTTTCTACCTCCCAGCAGCCCTGGCAGGCAGAGAAAGCTGGTGGCAATGGCCAGGGGGTCTCCCAGTGATGCCTCTCCTAGTGAACACCACGCAGGCCCCCACCTCTGAAGAACTGGGTGATGGAACAGCCAGCCATGATGACCCTGGAGCTCTTGGAGGTAGAGAATTTTCTCAGTCACACTCAGGAGAAGTTGTACGCTTGCATGATTTGTGGGGACAGTTTTAAGCACAAAGGCATCCTGGCAGCCCACCAGAAATCCCATAAGGAGGAGATAGAGGCTGAAGGCTGTGAGAAGGAGGGTGATGCTGACCAGGCTGGACAGCTGCATGACCAAGAAGCCACCAGAGCTGGAGGGGAGGCCGATGGGGAAGGCCATAGCAAGCACAGCACACAGAGTGATCTTGAGAGAAGGGAGAAGCCCCATGCCTGCACCGAGTGTGGGAAGAGCTTCAAGATGAAGGTTGACCTCACCAAGCACCTCCGGACTCACACAGGTGAGAGACCATTCCCCTGCACCAACTGCAGCAAGAGGTTCATCACCAAATCACAACTCAAGGAGCACCAGAGGATCCACACGGGCGAGCGGCCATATAAGTGCCTGGACTGTGGGAAGAACTTCACCCAGAAGTCACAGCTCATCGTGCACTGTCGGATCCACACAGGTGAGAAGCCCTATCAGTGCAGCAGCTGCCAGAAGAGCTTTGTGGACAAGTCACAGCTGGTGGCCCACCACCGGATCCACATGGATGACCGTCCCTTCAAGTGCGGGGTATGCGGCCATGGCTTCCGCCAGAAGATCACCCTCATCAAGCACCAGCAGGTCCACAGTGCCAAGGGGGCCGAGTGGGATGCTGCCAGGGCCATCGTGGCCGAATCCACTCTGGCAGGGGAGAAGATCTTCCACTGTGGCACCTGCCGGAAGGAGTTCAAGAAGAAGTCAGTGCTGGTGACCCACCAGAGGATTCACACCGGGGAGGAGCCCTACCCCTGCCCCGCGTGTGGGCGGTGCTTCCGGCAGAAGACCCACCTCGCTCGGCATCAGCGGACCCATGAACGGCCCCGTGCCCACATCTGCGGAGCCTGTGGGGACCACTTTGGCAGCAAGAGGGAGATGCTGCGGCACCATCAGGGCCGCCATCCCCGGCAGGCCCCCCACACCTGCACCACATGTGGAAAGCGCTTCAGCCAGAAGGTTGGCCTCACAGCCCACTGCCGTGTCCATGCACGGGAGGAGACCCCCAGTGCCACAGGGAGTGGGCAGCCCCCCACCACCCTTGGTGGTACCCACACCTGTGGGCAGTGCGGGAAGACGTTCACCAAGAAGGGCAACCTGGCCAACCACCAGCGGGTTCATACCGAGGGCCAGGGTCACCACTGTGGGGCTTGCGGCAAGAACTTTGCCAAGCGGGGTGAGCTGACCAAGCATGAGCGGACCCACACTGGGGAGAAGCCCTATGGGTGCAGGCAGTGCGGCAAGCACTTTGCCCAGCGCACCCAGCTGGTCACCCATCAGCGTGTCCACACCGGAGAACGGCCCTACCCCTGCAGTGACTGCGGCAAGTGCTTTGGCGACAAGTCACGCCTCACGGTCCACCAGCGCATCCACACTGGCGACCGGCCTTTCCCCTGCCCCACCTGTGGCAAGGGCTTCCGCCAGAAGATCGCCTTGGTCAAGCACTGCCGCGTCCATGAGCGAGGCAGGGACAAGGGAGGTGGCCAAGACATCAGTGCCAACGCCAACACCAATGCTGACACCAATGCCAACGCCAACACCAACACCAATGGCAGTGTCAAGACCAACACCAGTGCCAATGCCAATGTCAATGCCAATGCCAAGGTGGCTGGCAAAGACAAGGAAAGCCCATCTGTATCCTGGCAGCAGCTCCCCATTGGCAAGCGGCCCTTCTCCTGCAGCAAGTGTGGGAAGAGCTTTGCCCAGAAGGCCCAGCTGGCAGTCCACCACCGCATCCACACTGGGGAGCGCCCCTTCCTCTGCACTGACTGCCCCAAAGCCTTCATCGACAAGTCCCGCCTCATTGTCCACCGCCGCACCCACACTGGTGAGCGCCCCTTCCCCTGTGCTGCCTGCGGCCGAGCCTTCACCCAGAAGGTCGCTCTCACCACCCACCAGCGGGTCCACACACGGGAGCACCAGCCACTGCCAGCCCCAGTTCCCCTTGGACCCCGGGGTGAGAAGTGGCCATTCACTTGTGCCGTCTGCGGGAGAGGTTTCCACAAGGAGATCGCTCTCATCACCCGCCGGCGGGTCCACACCAAGTACGAGCCCAACCGCTGCAGCAAGTGTGGGCAGGTCTTCCCTGACAGGGCCCAGCTCCGGCTCCACCAGCCCTCCCATGCCGAGGACCGGCCATTCAAGTGTGCTACATGTGGGAAGGACTTCAAGAGGAAGGAGATCTTGATTACCCACCAGCGGGTCCACACGGGAGAGGTGCCCTTCCAGTGCCCCCAGTGCAGCAAAAGCTTCTCACAGAAGGCCAACCTCATGAAGCACCAGCTCACTCACACCCGCCGGGGCCCGTTTATCTGCTCCGACTGTGGGCAAAGTTATGCCACCATTGGACATTTCAAGAGGCACCAGAGGAATCACCTCAAGAAGCAAAGTCCTCCTGGTGAGGGAGAGGAGCCTCCTGAGGACCAGGTGACCGGCCATGTGCCACCGGAGCCCGTGGGTGGCCAGAGCAGCCCCATCGTCGTGGTGAAGACAGAGGCTGATGCTGATGACTATGAGGTCCTACAGGTCCCATGATGGCAAGGATCAAGCACTCAGGCAGGGAAGGGCTGATGCCTGCTCACCTGGGGATGGAGATGCTGCATCCACCACCAAGGTCCACAGTCCCGTGGGAGCTGCTCCCCTGGGAACATCTCACCGAATTTGGTGGGAGCCAGGAGTGGAAAACCTGGGAGGATCTGGACTTCAGCACACAGCAATCCCTGAATCGAACTTCAGTCAAAACTGGCTGACACAATGTGAAATTTGGGGGTGAGGGAGGGATATAAATACATATTTTGGCTTCTTTTTTATATCTTATATAAGAGTCCTCATTTCAAGAGGGTTTGGGTTTCTTTTTTTTCTAACAGGAGGGCTAGGCAGCTCATTGTTTTAAAGTAAGTAAGTGAAATCTGTGATTTTGGATATAGTCACATGCCTCCAAGAGCTGGAGCTTTTAAAAAAAAAGGGGCTAAAAATCTCACCAAACGTTATGAGGCTTGCCATCACCGACTTCCTGGCAGGAGTCGGAGCAGACCATCGTTGGTCCCTAGCCTTCCAGCAGCTGACACCAGCACCGGCTGTCCTGCAGACGCGTGGAGCAGCGTGGAGTCTGCTACCGCAGAAAAATTGCAGCCAGAAATAAGGGAGGATGCCATGGCCAAAGGACTCAGGGATGGAGACCCTGCTGGCACCTGGGGAAGGGCCACTGAGGTCAGTAACGCTCCTCGTGGAGGGCAAACACCCACCCACACAGCCTAGTTTGCAGAGCCAGAGTAAGAGCCCTGGCTGGGAACTAAGGCAGGGTTTATATGAAGACATCAGTTTTCATAGTTTAAAATAACCTTATGCGTGGGTTGGTTGTGCAGGATAATCCCTGGGCTTATTTATTATGGAGTTGAGGGCATTCGTTGCACAGCCACAGCTTCAGATCAGCATTTGGGAGCTTGCCAGACCTGTTTCTTGCACCGCGTGCTCAGTTGTAATGCCAAGATGTGGCTCCTAAACCTGAAGACCCCTGGTCTGTGCTGTGTACAACCACACTGAGGTAGGGAGAAACCCTCTACAACTGTCCTCTGCGCCACATGTTTGCAGTTGTGACCACAGTGTGGCACCAGCAAAAGGTGTGTTTAAGTGCTCTGCCAAGAAAAGGAGGAGTTAGGTTGCTCCCATGCCCCAGGTGGAGTTGGGGGTTAGCAGAGGCTGTTCCCACCACAGGTGCGGATAAACCTCCCCACATCTGGCTTGAAGACCCTGGCCCTATGGGCTGCGCTGCCCCATGGGACCCCTCTGACCCAGCTTAGTGACACGGAGGCCACCTCCAAGGTGCACCTCCAAGGCCACCTGGCCAAGCCAACTTGCTGCTCAGAGTGGTTTTGGGGGCAAAGAAAGAAGGGCTTTGCTGGGCAATCACTTAAAGTGCCACTTCAGGCTTGCCAGGGGGATTCAGCTGCTTTTGCATCCTGGACATCACTGCCAGAGCTCGCTTCAGTGACAGCAAGAAGGGGGCTCACCGCTCCCTCCCCAGAGCTGGGTGTTCCCCGTGCCCCGAGCAGCACCCTCCACCCTCCAGCTCCCTCCTTAGCCACCAGGTTTTGCCTTCGAGGTTGCACGAAGGCGGCAAGGCACACCACCATGTCCGTACAATGCTAACTTTCAGTACTTGCACATGCCTTTGGAGCTCAAACAGCACCCCCCATTAAAATTACCCGGTGTGAAATGATCCCCTTTCCTCCATGCTTTTAGCAGCACTCACCGCTGCTGGATTCGGAATGCGCCCTGCGCTCCATCCCCCAGTGCAGCCCCTGCTGCTCTACGTCCTGTCCATTAAATTAATATTCTGCCATTAACTACGGCAAAGAGCTCCGATGCCACGAAGCGATGGCAGGAGCCGAAGGAAGGCTCGATACGCCCCTATTAGTTTGCAAAAACAGGGCCAGCCTGTCTTCAAACTCCACATTGTCACTAGAGGAGCCAAATGGATAGTTACAGAAAATTAAGGACTATTTGCATTTTGTTCTTTTTTCCCCCAGTAGATCTGTTTGACTTTAAAGATTTCCTTCAGCATTTCTGTTGTTTTAAAAGGCTGGGTTTTTCCTACATTCGTGTCGCTGGCAGTAAATTCATCAGCCTTAAATAGGTAGACTGATAACAGACCGTGATAATAGTACACTAAACTATTACATGAAAAGCAGGGAATTAAATCATTCACTGGAAAACAGGTCATGGTGGAAGACTGCTGTTTCCTGAAAGCTTTGTATCCTTTCAAGCGTCCTTTTTTTTTTTTTTTGTGCAAGATGTTCTTGCTCCAGTAATCTTTGCACAGCTCTGCCCTATTTCTGCAAGAGCCAGTGTAGGCTCAGCCCTCGCTGAGCAGTTGCCCGCGCCTTGTCCCTTGTTTGGGGATTTTCTCTCAGGAATGAAATGACAGCGAGGAATAAATTATCCAGCTCCCCTTTTCTAACTGATCCTGATTTCTTTAACTCACGTTATGTCTCACTAGTAATCCTGCTGCATATAAACAAACTGGAGCTGGGGATGATTGGAAAGCAGCTACATACATTGCATGGCAAGACTTCTGCCTCGATTAGGTGACCGCTTTTCCAACCAGAGGGATTATGAGTGATGAGTAGCAGACCATGTTACTGGAGCACAGGCACAAGAAGAAAAGGCTTTGCCTGAGCATCTTTCAAATAATACGCAGGAGGACAAATAGTAGAGCACGAGCACGGGCCGGTTGGACTCTCCTTTGGGGAACAGGAGCGGCTCTGTGTTCATGAGCTGTGGTTGGGCAGTTTTCCATTGGCTTTCTAGAAAAGTTTGACTGCCATGGGGTGAATGAAGATGAATTCTTAGTCTAACAAAGCCTCTCACCTGAAAATCATCCCAATGTCAAGTAAGAAAATAAAACAGATTGGGAATGTATCTATTTTTCCCGATCTCAGTGGTTGCAGGTCCACCATGTCTGGGGCTGGCTTTATCTCACCTGAATTCATGTCTCTACAGCACAGATTTAGACACCTGAGCCGGTCATTCCCCATTTAAAATCAAAGGAGAGAAATGGAGAGATGGAGAAAGTGATTCTTCTGCCCTATTTAGCTGTCCACTCCAGGATGAGACTCCAGGACTTTATTGACTCTGCTGCCTACATCTCCCTGGGCTGCAAAGGGAAGCCGGGCTCGGAGGGGGACATCCCCATCAGTTCATGGGGGTTTTAGCCCACAGCAGCCAATCTATTTGGGAAAAAAGCAGGGGCTGTAGGGACACAGACTGCGACAGCTAGCGGTTATTAGACGTAATTGGAGCATGGAGTCAGCACTGCAGATGCCTCTGTCACAAAAACATCCCAGCCTTTAACAATTTGTTCGCTGGGCTGAGCCGTGCTGACAAAGCTCTGCCTGCAGATGCTCCTGGCTGCGTTTAGCTTCCCGAGGGAGCGAGCTGATGTAGACGGGGCATGGAAAGGCCGGTATAATCCACACAGAGGGAGATGATTCTTTCCCAGGTATATTTTTTATCACTTTGGTTTTATTTATTGGTAGGCAGAAGGTAGCTGTGCAGGAGACAGAGGAACTAGAGGGAGTTGTGAACACCCACTGAAGTATTCATAGAATCACAGAATGCTTTGGGTTGGAAGGGCCCTTCA